TCTCCCCGTCTTTGTGACGTTTAGAAAACAAAAACTAATCGCAAAAACAGTGTCACAAAAATTAACAAAGACATTACCTAATTCGGAAAGTAAATCTGTTACATAAAACCTGCTAAAGTGCAAAATCTGTACAATGTACGCTCTGGCACGTACAAAATTTAAACAGAGTTAAAAAAAGACTATCCGCGGTGCTAATACCTTTGTCATAAAAAAACATGATTTTAACATGATCGGAAAGTAATTATAGAATGTTGAGTCAATCGAAGCCGAAGTAGATTCATTTATTATAAGAACAACAACGGAAGAACCGGCTGTTAATGTTCATGGCAGATAAAACTACTGCAAATACAGCTATAACTAATATATAATATTAAGATTCTATAATAGAAAAAGTTTATTAAAACTATAAACTAAGGAACTAAACTAACTTCGACGATTCGCATCAAAAGATAGTATAAAAAATTAACAAAGTAATAATATGTATGTTGTTTGTGAATATTGCAACTGAGATAACTCACTTTGTATTCATATTGTTATCTTTTACAGAGTTCAACTAAATATTAATATCCATAGAAAGGAAATAAGATATCTCATCTCCAATGTGATGAGTGAGATTTGTACACAAGTAGCAGACGCTAAAACATGTCACCACTCAGAATTCGCACTACTAGAGTACAGGTCTTCCTTATTAATTTTTTTTTTCGGTGATTACGATTGAGATTATATCTCAGCTGGCGGGCACAGTGCTGATTGGTGGCTGTTGACGACTATAGATGCCAGTATCAACGAATTGCTTCCGAAGCACAGAAGAGCTCGAGATAACATTTTTTTGGGCACATATCCTGATATGTGCCCAAAAAATAGGTGACAAGCTCTTGCGAATGTAAGCAAAACTATACGGTATACAAATATTTGATTTTTAATTATTTTTGAGACGGCCATAACTTGAAATGAATCTGAAATTTTATTTAATCGAAATGTGTATTAATAAATTATACGCTATTATTTATTTGATTTACCAGTTATTCCTAAGAATCATTTTACACTAGGAAGATAAAACAAATAGTTTAAATTTTAATTTATCATTACAAGATAAGAATCGCCATCAATCCTTGTACGTCCAAACTGCAGGGGCTCATGGATGGTTAAAGATGTGCCATGACAGCACAGAGCAACTCGAGATAAATATTTTTGGTCACCAATCTCGTGACCGACTCTTGCGAAAGTTGCTTTAGAACAACGACTGAGGGTCGCGGCGCTTATACAATACGCCAATGAGCTACGACGTGGTAATACCAATACTGGTTAGGAATGTACAATAATAATACTGACCGAAAATTTCATAGAAACTGTGCAACTTTTTAATTAAACCACTGGAACTAAAGCTTACTTTTAAATTTAATGACTTTTGCTTTCCCAAAAATACAATTAAAAAAAAGTCTAATGGAAAATATAACTGGTTCAGATACTTTATTAATCTTTGCTTCAGACATGTATCCTTCCAACATTGCTTAGTTGCGATAAAACTACCGAAGAGACAACTATTTATTGTATTTCTTAATTTATTTTACTACAAGCGCTAGGATTTTACATAGAATTGTTAAAAAGGTTATGTTAATTAATTGCTGTTACGTCTTCAAATAAGGGTTAAGAATATCGAGTAGTGAGTACGGTTTTAAAATATTATTGAAAAACTGATTATTTGCACAACTGTGAGTTTTAGCGATGTTTCAGCAAAAACGATGAGTATAAATTCATTTAAAGACAAGGAGTTTGACTGTTTTGTTGTATGCCATTGAAAACTTTTAAATATATAAATGAAGATTTTTCATTAAGATTTTTCTATAGTAATATTTTATTTACGAAATATTCGAGTTTTATCCGAAACTACTAGACCGATTTGGAAAATTATTTCATCTACGGCAAGCTGCATGATGCGCTAGTGGCATAAAGGTGAAAGTGAGTGTCAATTTCCGGTCACCCATCCCGTGACTGGCCATTGCGAAAGTTGCTTAACTTTCTCAATTGCAGACTACGTCAACCACTGCGTTATCTAGCTGTATATACTATCCATTAATATCACATCAATATGTTTACCAAAAAGGTTTCGGTGCGTCTCTTCCCAACTCGCAGCGTGCATAAATAAAACTTGTACGAACCTTGTGTATTAATATGGAAAATGGTGAGGAAGTGGAGGCCTAACTCATTTCCCCTGGGAAGGTAAGTGTATACTAAATAGGGCCATCACTCTTGATAAAAAAATATATCAATTTCCTACTCTCGCTTAATCTGAAATGCATTTATTATAGTGGCTGATTTGGATTATTATCGATTATGATAAACGAGAAAGTAAAAACCTCAAAACTAAACCTTAAAATAAATATGTCACTCAAAAACTTAAGGCTCGTGTGAATTTTGTAAAAAAGTGACCAAAGTTTTAGTTAATAAAAAAAATACAAATTTCTTAAAAACAATTATACAGTTTTGGATCAATATTACAATAGTTTCCTCTGAATACAATTTATGTTATAATAAAAAAATATATAATAATTCAGTAGGCTTATTATAGACCGTTAATATTGCTAAAAGATATTTTATTTCTTTTTAAATTCTGATAAAAAAAAAATTAAAAAAAAGAACATAGACCAGATCCTTATACTATATAAAACCTCCAAGTTCACTGGCATATTAAGCTTAGAACAAAAAATAGAAATGTATAAAAACGCCGTCAAGCAGGTGTAGGCAACAATCACGGTATATTGCTATGAATACACTTAATGAATGATTTCAAGGTAAGTTGCTAAATTTGTATTACAGATACTGTAAGCGACTACAGGTGTAATAGCCCGGTCAAATAAGCATTTTACCCCGGAAAAAGGGGAGCCCGATGGCGCAGTGATTGTTAAGCAACTTTCGTAAAGGTCGGTTATGGGATGGGTGACCAAAAAATAAATATTTAGAGCTCCTCCATGTACTTTTACCATTAGCCGTGACTGAGTCTGCACTTGTTATCACTCACAAATCCACACTGGGCCCGCGTGGCGGGTTATAGCTCATTCTCCCTATGCGATTCGATTACATCCATGGGGAAGGTGACTTACTATTAATTTCCCTAGCAGTGGGGATATTAATAGTAAAAGTAATTATATTTATTTATAGTGATAGTGAGTAGTTTCAATTTGACGAGCTTTGTAAGTTATTCAAGGTCAAAGGTCATAAAAATCAAATTTCGCTATACTCTATTATTCTTTATTAAGAAGTTACAGAGAATTATTACATACAATAAAAATGTAACAAACCTACAGACAGGTAAACGGTACTCATAAAGTTATACTGTAGAGCCACCAAGTTTTACTGGTTACTATCTCGGAAACGTGTAGATTTGGATGGAAATTTTGTCTATTGCTACCTAAATTATTTGTAAATTACTATCAATAGCAGTTTGTTAATATAAAACTATCAAATCATTTTTATTTTAAACCTTCACACGTAGTGTAGAGTTCAAAAAACAAATGTGGAAATTGAACATATTTAGGTTAACTGCAGTGGGTATATTTTTAGAATTTTCATATTATGTACTCTTTTAGGATTAGAGCCAGGGATGACAGATACCGCGAGTGCTAATTCGACGCTAGAGGTCGTTTTTATTATTAATTAAAGACAAAGACAAGTTCACAGAAATGACGCAACCGTTTGTTGCGTTATTGACACATTTGCGGAAGAAAACAAAAACGTAATTTTAATACTGACAGCAGTTTTTGTTGCTTAATACATCAAGAAATCTCCGATTTTATAAATATCGATATAGTATCTATCTTAAACTTCTTAAAAACAGGTTGCTCCGTGACTCAATTAGGAAGTAAACTTGGAACGTCAGTTAAGGCAACACTATATGTTCATATGCATTCGTTTATATCATATAATATATATATAAATACATTTCTCGCAGGCATAGAAGTATTTATTATATATGTTTTTTTCATAATTATTAACAACTTAATTTATTATTATATTTGATATTTTTATAAAGAAATTAATTTAATGATCTAATTTATATTAAAAAATATTTTTATCTAAACCAATTCTATTTTCAAATACCAAAAGCAATCAGGAAATCTGTTCGTGAAGTTTGATTTCAATTGGAAATAACAATGAGCGAATTTATTAAATATCATAAACAAAATATAGTTACAACAATAGAGTATTGAACTGTTTGTCTATGACTACATCCACGAAGGTGTTGCTCAAATGTTTGTAAACCAAACGAAATTTTGCTCCACCGTTTGTTTGTTTATCAATCAACAAAAGCGGTTTCTATCTTTGTCTATTGATCACTCTTTTTCTCATTCATGACGATTTCTCGAGCGGTTGCGCCGTTTGTTCCATTCAATGGAATAAAATTTATGGGAATGACATTTTAAAAACATCTGTTTTTATTGACCGCTCGTGTAAAGCGAAATAAACTTTATTTCAATGGTTTTCAGATTAAAATCTACTTTATGAAAGAAACACACAGTGCTTTGTTCATAATATTATTTAAACACTCTGTCACTTACATTTAAATAACAGAAAAAAATCGAATATAACTTTATACAAAGAAACACCTGTTCTAAGTTAAGATGAATAAGAGCCTAAGCAACGATTGCCCCATCAATAAAAAAACGCGGTCAATGTAATCATGTTTATAGAACAATAAAAAAATAATAGCTGTATATTAAATAGGTGGTTAGCACATTTTACTTTACCAACAGGAAGCGAGTTTCAGGAAAGCCTCAACGTCGATCGAACAATTCATGGTTGAGTAAACAAAATATATATTACAATAAAAACACTACATTGCTATGCATTTGGCTGTTGACAAAAAGTTTGCGATAAAACGGAAAGATATTTATTTTCCTGACAACACACGATTCAAATTTAAATAAAAAATAATTAAATACTTAAGTACTATTTAAGTAATTGTACGTAAGAGACTTAGACAAATTAAAATATCCACCAACCTTTTTGTATCGTAACAAATCCGCGTGCACAGAAACACTACAAATGAAAAAGTAAAATAAAAAAGCACTTTAGAATTCGAAAATCACTCGCGCCGCGAACTCCGAGCGGGAAAATTGGGCGGGAGAAAATGACGTCGAACAGTCCGCGCTGTTCCAAAGACGCGATTCGACTGAACTAGGCGGCGCGAGACCGTGTCGCGTTTTCCATCTATATCGTGTCAGTCGAAAACAATGATCATTTGTTTATACCTATTTTAATTGGTACAAGCTTATATTTACCGCTTGTTGCGGAAAACCGCACTTTATTGGAAAGAGGTAAAGTTGCATAATTATGTACGGTGAACTCTTAAGCTGGCATATCGTTGGAAGATTGTTTGCAGACGTCATAAATGCAACCTCGGCTCAAGGTCGCTGAGGTGAGAACGAGATGATCGCGACCTTTTTTTTATTTTTCTAACTGGTTATTGTCAACCTTAAAGCTGTTTGATATTGTTATGTAAACTTGCACTTGTTATTGTCAAAATCGACAAATCGTTGTTTTTGTTCTTCGATTTGTTTGTAAACTCGTTTAGATGTCGCTTTAATTGTTCTAGTGCTAGAGGCTTCGTGTTTTATTATCGTATAAAGATTCTCATAATAAATCAGATGGGTTAACTTACTGAAGTTCCCATCTAGAGATGTCTGGGATTGTTGATTTTTAAATATTTTCCGGATAAATATTATTTAAGCACCGTGAATGTGAAAATTAAAAGTCACATGTTTTTTCTTGAACATTATACCTATCCCAGTTTTTCCAGCATGATCTGTACGTTGTCTCACGCATTCAAGATTTACCGGCTGCTTAAATATTCGTCAGATCATCTCGCCTTCTGTCTCCCTGGTTTCCTGTTGGATGTTCATGGCTGTTATACAGTTATCTTTTGGCTCCAAAGTCCATTCGAACATCACTTTATATGGCCAGTCTATTGCCACTTCAACTAAGCCACTCGCTATATCCATAACATTCACGCAACAACTTCAGAGTTTCTGACACTATAACGGAGAGACATTCTTTACATAGATCTTTCCATGACTCTTTGAGCCTTCGCATCATGTCATTTGTTGGTGTCCACGATTGGCAACTTTGATTTTTTCTTTTTTTTAGAAATTTTATTTGATCCGCCATCTTGGCTGGTCTGCCGTATTGGAATTAAAATGAAATCAAATTATTCACCGTATTCTTTTTATGAAACAGTTTAATTACGGATTTTACGGATACGGATATTCAATATTACGGAAAGCTTAAAGGTGATCTTGGGTTGTCACTATATTGCCGTTTCAAATGAAGTATTTTCATATTTTGCTTGGCAAACCATTTTATTTGATGCACATAATGATATACAAATAATAACGTGGCCGCCATCTTAAGCCATCCACCATATTATTTAGTCGGTTGGTAAATGGAAAATTGACTACACCTGTAATTTTATTGGCAATATTAGTAATTTATTTACTCGTATGTTACTTGGCATATTTAGTTTCTTTAGCTTAAGACGATATGAATAGGTAGTATAACTAAACATCGATGAAATACCCTCACAATATCGAAAGTAACGAGTACTTTAAAATTCGATAATCTTATTACATTATCTGTTAACTCAATTAAAAAGAGCAGTTGCCCATTTAGAAAATAGGTAACAAGATCGAGTCCAGTTTTGTAATTGAGGTAATTGTCTTTATTTATATTTTAGACTGTTATTTTATTCATAAAAGATTGATTTATATATTTTTTTAATTCGCCCTTTTTGTTAGTTGAAATTTTCACGTACTCTACTCATTACATAAAACTTATAAATGTTTACATCAATTTTATTTAAAAAAATAAAATATTATCTTTTTTCAGTTATTGTGGAAAATTTTTCACTAAAATTTTGGCCGTAATAAAATTATTAAAAGCATCTCAAACAATATTTATTGGACATAATCATAACACTGTTTTATTCATTATGAGAACATTTATTCACACGGTAACATGTCAAGTTTAAAATTTAACAGATCTGAATAACCTGAAATTCCGTTGACTGTACATTAATTAAATTATTATTACAAAATTACCCTTTATTACCTTAACCACGAATCCTAACGAGTCTTGTCTGAGAAAAAAAACATCTGATATAACATACAATACGAACGACAAAGTGATAGCTTTTTTATTAATTTAAACATAAAAACTAACTGTAACTTTACATTTTGCAGTGTGTTATCTTTGTTTTTCCAAATTGGCGTTACTGTTATATTCAGTTGCGCACTCCGCGCTAGTGTCATAAACATAGATCACACTACAAATTCGGCCTTTAAGTTTCCATAACACGCACATCGAGCTGCTTAGTATAACGTAAAATAAGTGCGTATGTAGTTTTATGCAATAACTTTCGTTTTCATTACGTATGACGGACGGACGGATCCACTGCGTGCGTTTTATCTTCGTATAAATCTATTTAACCGGAGACCTACTTTGTAACACGGAATATGATAATTGAATTTTTTTGTTTAAAATTTAAATTATTTGACAGTAAATTAACTTAGTAATGAATTACTAAACTGATACATTGAAAGATATTTCTTGTGCCAAATTTAAAAGTATAAAAAAACACGTCCTCAATTACAAATGTTCCAAGGGTCCCTCGACTACAATGTGAGTTTTGTTCAAGGAAGTGATAACACAACTTGTTTCTTTAGTTTTAGTTCGATTTCGGCAGTCGTGTTTCTGATTTTTTTAATAATAATTTTTTATTTTTTTTCTTTCAGCGAGCAATCAATTATGTGTACTTGTTTTTTATTTGAATATACTCATTAAAATCTTGCATATGATATCCATATTAATACAATTAAAGAAAAAAATGTTTTTCCTTTTTTTTAATGACACCATACATCCGCTGTTGATTTTGATTTTTTTATTTGATGCCATGTTGATTTTTTTATTTATCGAGATGATGGAATGTTTGTAATGATATTTTATATATTAATATCCGTTCAGTCTTTTAAATGCTATCGTGCAACAAAGTAACTCATGTATATCAGTTTCTTTATTCCACAATACAATCAAATTGAAATAAAAAATGCAATATCCAAAAACTATAATTATCAAGTAGGTTTCATTACGAATAGAAAAAACAATATAAACATCGTGTTTCGTAATAGACCCCCTGTTTCGGACGTGATTTTGTTATGCGTGTGGATTACAAATGATTAGATTTTCCGTACTGGCATTATTCTTATGATGAGATAGTAAAATGCGTGTGAAGAGTATGCTGTTATTACAGAGGAAAAGGAAAGAAGAATCAATGAAAGGAATAGAATATAGCACTTCTGAACATAGGATTGGATAGAAACTTCAGGTACACTATGGGACATTTGGCAGAATTTCTGTGTAAAGAAAAGTGTATTTTAAGAGATGAAAAAGGCAATAGTTTTGAAACATGATATATTATTGCCTTCTCTATGTTAATATGAATGAACTAATATGCAATATTATAAAATGTATGTTAACTTTTTTTGCAAGTTGTTTTAGCTCGTGCTAATTACATTTATCGTTTAATAATCACTAAAGGAATTCTAAATTAAATCATATTTAGGAATATCATATTTTGGAGTTCCATTCCGCAATCAAAGTTTAAAAGTTTCACCTTTAATATTTTAAAAATTTTTTGCTCGTCGTCGTAAAGTCTAGCTGTAAAACACTTAATATTATTTTATAGATACATATTTTATTTTTACACGTAAAGAGGTACAGTGTTGCTGAACTGCGTCATTGCTACCGTAAAAACACTTTATTTTGTGAAATGTCGCTAACATCTAAAAAATTAATGACAATGTTATAACTTCAACAAAGTTAAGCTCTATTATTTTTATATGAAAACTCCAGGTTCCTTATGTTATCACGAAATAAAAAAAAAAGCTATTTCTAGTAGTAACTAGATCAAAACATGCTTTTAGGTACATAAAATAAACTTGGAACGGACACCAGACCGAACCTAAGATAGTTGATTTTGAGAATACTTTTTAAAGAAAAAAATAAAGTTTTTGTTTTTTAAATACTAAATAAATAATCAATAATCTCAAACTAAATAGCTCTAGCTCTAGCTAAAGTTTTGGAAATAGGAAACAATTTTTTTTCTACATTTGATTAATTCAGTGTGTGAATTGTAATAGAAGTTAAAAAAATATTAATGTTCGATCCTGCATGAAAACTTTTCAATGGAATATAACCCCTCAGAAATGGCGACACATCGAAACCGGCGTGTATGCAAAACGGTCACGGAGGTAGTATAATATTACAACAATATTATACAACAGTATTATTTCCAAAACTACAATCATAATTCATCACGTAACTTGCTCGCCTGCTATTTGGAATACGCGACAATTTTCACTGAACATTACAGCGGCTGTGAACACCCAGTGTTTCCTTCCGACGCGGCATTGGTGTGGTGAAATCGACACAGCTCGTTCGCCGACTCGGTTCATAGAGCATGGCTGTGCACTCTATGTCAAGGAAATTAGGTGCAAATTGCGAAATGTTAATTCTAATTTAAACGTAGAATAGTGCGACACGGGACTAAGTATATTTTTCTTTGTTTAAAGACAGCAAGGAGTTTTGATACTTTTTTGTTTCCTGGCAACAAAGAATTTTCTATGGCGACATATAAAGTTTAAACAAAAGTTTATTCATAAACCAACCGAGTTTATTGATATCTCAGTTTGACCCTTAAAAATATATACCGTTAGGTATGGCGATTTTACAGAACTAAATTTTGCCTATGTAACCTTCCTCAATTTATAAATATGATATACTAGCTTTGGCTTCACCAATATGGGTATGAAGGGATCATTTAGTGGAATTAAAAAGAGCTATTTATGAATTTAGGCCTAAGCCTAAATTAGTATGTATTACATATCCCAAAATAGTATGAATTTAGGCTTCATAAATAGCACTTTTTAATTCTAACAATCTTTTAAATTCTCTTTTTAATTTTTAATTTTATGTTATGCTAACATTATCCGCATACAAATTTCATCGAAATCCATTCTCTGATTTTTCCTGGAAGAGTCAAATAATGTAACTAAAGTACTTGTATTATGCAAATCTTAAACAATGAAGTTACCAGAATATCCAGATCTGAGAAAATATAT